CAGGTGGGCAGAGCCGGGGAGCCAGGGGCAGCAGCGCGTGGGGCTGCCTCCTTGCAAACCAGCTGACAGCTTCCCTCTGCAGGCTGCCTGCCCTGCCTGAGCAACGTGCACGAGAACAGCCATGCTGGGTCACCCCAGGCCCCCAGCCCCATCCCAGCTGCCCCCTGCCCTAGGGAATGAAGGGTCAGGCACTCGAATGATCCCCAGCTTGTGGCACACAAGCTCTCTTTGCCTAGTCTGGCCCTTTGAGGCCACGTTCAAGCCTAGGACACGCTGTCCCTGGGCCCCTCAGAGGCAATACTTCCCCAGTTGCAAGCACTGAATTAGAGCGCAGGAAAACTGTTAAGTAGGGAAGTCACGTAAAACTAGGGAAAATGCTACAAGCAGGATTCATAAACAAAACTGAGCCGGACGTCCACCCAGTGTGTGTGTGGGGGGGGCAGTCTTCTGCCTGATTTTCTTGAGTTCTATAACCAGATGTTCCTTTACTGTGCCACACTTACCATGGTTGTCTTGGATCACTGAGAACCCCACTGTAGAAAGGATGTGGACACACTGGAGAGGGTACAGTGGGGGGGGGGGGGGGCAACCAAAACGATTAGGGGGTTAGAGCACATGTCCTATGAGGAGAGGTTGAGGAATTTCGGCTTATTTAGTCTGCAGAAGAGAAGAGTGAGGGGTGATTTGATAGCAGCCTTCAACTTTCTGAAGGGAGGTTCCAAAGAGGATGGAGAGAGGCTGTTCTCAGTAGTGACCGATGGCAGAACAAGGAGCAATGGTTTCAGGTTGCAGTGGGGGAGATCTAGTTTGGATATTAGGAAAAAACTGTTTCACTAGGGGGATGGTGAAGCACTGGAATGGGTTACTTAGGGAGGTGGTGGAATCTCTATCCCTAGATGTTTTTAGGTCCTGGCTTGACAAAGCCCTGGCTGGGATGATTTAGTTGGGGTTGGTCTTGCTTTGGGTCAGGAGATAAGCGGCGGATATAGGGCAGGGCGAGCGGGGCCGCCGTGTGGGACCGAAACAGCTGCTTGAGCCACTTGCTCCAGCGGAACCCAAATGGCGGTTTGCACCGGCGCCGCTTGCTCCCGCGCAGTGTCCCGGCTGTGCAGCACAGAACGCAGCCAAGGGCCATGGCGGGAGGCAAAGGGGGGTGGCACTCAGCTCTGCACCGCTCAGCTGGTGCAAACCGCCATTTGGGCTCCATCAGTGAGAGGCAGGAGGAGAAGAAGAGAAAAAGAGAGTGACGCAGGAGGAGAAGAAGAAGAGAGAAAGTGACGCAAAACATGATAGAAAAAGAGAAACAAAGACTTATTGCAGATTTCAAACGTATAGTTGAAATAATTATATTTATGGCGAGTCGAAATTTATTATTCAGAGGAAAAACCGAAAAACTTTTTCAATCCCATAATGGAAATTTTTTGGGAATATTTGAATTATTAGCTAAATTCAAATTAATGATATCAATATCTGAAAAAGTTAAGAAACACATAATTGATGAAGTAAAACGGGCAAAATATTATTCGATAATATTAGATTGTACTCCTGACGTCAGTCACCAAGAACAATTATTGATGATAATCCAATTTGTGAATATAGAAAATCAAGATTTTAAAATAGATGAAAAGTTTATCAATTTTTTAGTTGTTGATGATACAACAGGAAGAGGGTTAGCAGAAAGGTTAAAAAATGAACTCCAAGATCTAAGATTAGATTTAAAGGACTGTTGAGGACAAGCTTATGACAACAGGGCTAATATGAAGGGTAAAAATGTAGGAGTGCAGGCTTTAATTTTACAAGAAAATCGAAGAGCCTTCTATGTATCCTGTGCTTGTCACAATTTGAATTTAGTGTTGGGAGATATTGCAAAATCGTCCACGCAAGCGGTGACGTTTTTCAGGATAATACAAAGGATTTACACAATTTTTGCAGTGTCAACAGCAAGATGGGATGTATTTAAAAGACATGCTCCTCTACTTTCACCAAAACTACTTTCGGAAACTAGATGGGAGTGCCGAATTGAAAGCGTTAAAGCAATTCGATTTCAAACAACTTGATTAGACAATGCTTTAAGTGCACTTTTAAATACGGTAACGGATCACAAACTTAAATGTGAAGTACTTGCTGTCAGAAAGCATCTAAGAACATATGAATTTTTAACCAGCCTTGTTATTTGGTATGATGTATTACTTAAAATAAATACTACCAGCAAAATTCTGCAAAAGACAAACATAGAAATGGATATTGCTTTAAACCATTTAAAGTATCTTGTATGATATTGGGAGGAATACAGATCTTCAGGATTCCAAAGTGCATTAACTACAGCCAAAGAGATGTGTGATGAATTGAACATCAATCCAACATTTCAGGAAAAACGTCTGACAAATAAAACAAATACGTTTTCATATGAGGGAAATGATGAACCTATTGAAAGCACAGAGGAATCATACCGAATAAACTACTTTTTGATAATTGTTGATTCTGCTCGTTTCTATGAAGAAACTATGAAATCACAAAGACATATTTGGTTTTCTACATTATATGAAAAGCATCAAAGAAATGGATAAGGGCACACTAAAAAAACATTGTATGGATCTTCATGTCAATCTACAAGATGGTGACTCCTGTGACATTGAAGGTTTAGATCTTTACGAAGAGTTGCAGAACTTTTGTAGAATTATTCCAGACAGTTGTATTACAGTTCATGATTGTTTGAAAATAATTTTTTGAACAATATGGAAGACATATATCCTAATATTTATATCACTCTTAGGATACTTCTAACTAGTCCAGTGACAGTAGCTTCGGCAGAGAGAAGTTTCTCTAAACTGAAACTAATAAAGAATTACTTAAGATCTACTATGAGCCAGGAGCGTTTTGTAGGTCTTTCGATTATATCGACTGAAAACGACCTGTGTAAAGAAATGGACTTTAATTACATAATTGAAGAATATGCTGCCAAAAGAGCTAGACAGCTATAATAGACTTAAATACAAATGAAAATGTTTAATTATTAATGTAGAATTTTGTTTAAGAATGACTTACAATATAATTAAAATAAAAATTTTCCAACTAAATTAAGTTTCTATCGAATTTTCCCAATTCACATTTAATATGAAAATATCTGTCAATTTGCGCATTTGAAGCCTTTTTTCTATTTTTTCTCCAAAGGGGGGCCCCGTGAAATTGTGCTGCCCTGGCCCCTGCAAAACTCTCATCTGCCCCTGCAGGGGGTTGTACTCGATGACCTCCTGAGGTCTCTTCCAGCCCTAGGATTCTATGAATGCAGGGTTCAGAAGTGTATCTGTTTGAGTATGCTACCCACCTGGGGAAGAAGGCACCTTACTTGATCCATCATCTGAACGATTTTTCTGGTTGGCTGCCTCTCTCACCCGCCATTCATTCCTCTCCATTGGCTGCCGTCTGTGCTGTGACCTCTGACGGTTAATCTCTTGAGATTACACTCCAATCTTAGTGATTTTCAGCTCTTAGTGGGGAGAACCAGAAGCAGGCTAGGAGAAAATGCTGTCCCACCACAAGTGATTTCAGCTCTGACTATTGAGCACTTAACAGAAGACAATGGAACATATTTAGCTCTGTCTTTGAAGAGTGGACCCACAGGGAGTATCCACGCTTCCTGGCTATGACACTCCTTTCTCATGGGTCTGGCATTTGAGCCCCTGTCTTAGCAAGTTCCTTTCAGATGAGGGTGAGCCCCTCATTTGGGACATGAAGCACAGTTCTCCCATTTACTCATGCAATAAAGACAACATTGATAATATTTCACTACCCCTGCTTTCAGACTCTGTGCTAAAGTAATGTGTAACCCAGCCGAAGCTGATTACTTTGAGCAACACAGGTCTAGACAGGATCAGTTTGTTCATGTAAATGCAGTTTGATCAGGAAGTCTCTTCACTGCCCAGCTAGTTATCAGAGGAGAGCTCATTCAGACCCTGCTTACATTGTGATTGTGGTACCAGAATGCACATTTAATGAATCCTGATAGTAAACCCAACACAACCAAGTTCTGATTTCTACCTTGTTGCTGTACCAGGCTTGAAGTGCTAGGACTGTCTATGGAACAGTATTGTTTCTGGAGAAGTCCTGTCATCTTTACTCAAGCATGACTTTTATCACAGTCAATGGCTAATTTTGACTAATTAGGGTCTTCAGTATTCATACTGTAAGTTTATCTAAATTATTAGTTTCCACAGTTCATTGTATATTATTAATGACTGGGGAAGACATTATTTCTTTCCTAAACATTCTTCTTGTTGATAAGACTATGGTGAATATATTTACATAGCCCTTGGAAGCGAGCCTATCAGTCTGAATCAACATTCTTGGGGTAGCTGGGCTTCTGCTACCACTTTAAAAATAGCTGTGTAGACAGCTCTTTGAATTTGGGCTCGAGGTCTGAAGGTTAGACAGAGGTGGATATTAAAACTGTTGCTTCAACAGATATACCCTGTGACTTTCCAAGTGTGGCCGTTATCTGCTCCCTCTCTCTGCTCTTGGGGGGTTTAGTCTTCTCTATGCACATCATTTCTGGAATTCACTGTCCCTGGATGTTCAGAGTCTGATCCTTATGTTTGAAGTTGGCAATAAAGACCTCTGATTAGTTCAGCAATTGGTTGGTTGGTTGGTTGCTATTAATCAGCTCTTTTTACTGTAAAATGCTGAGAAAAATATGGAAGAGAAGCATAAATAAGAAAAAAACCAGTTTATTTAAATAAAAAAGTGGAACACAAGACTAAAATAAAGTGACAGTTTCAAAAAATGAAACTACTCATGAATCCCATGCATCTGGGAATTTTAATATGCCAATATGTCAGTAGGGTTCCATATGCTCTTTCAGTGGAGGAAATGATAAGAACATTATTTTTTCAAACTTCGAGTATTCTTCGTTTTGTTAAATTTATAGTTTACCTTCGAATTTTTAGATCAAATACTGCTTTTTTCCCCTCAAGTTTGTCTAAAAAAATACCAAACAGAGTAAAATGAGTCAAGCATAATTTAATGTAACTGCCAATTTTTATATAACCATATTTATCTGTCTCTGAAAGATTGGAGCAGATATGAACACTTACAAGATCTTTATCAAGCATTCTTAAAACTAAAATACCCACCTGGGGAAGTAAAGAAACAGATTGACAAGGTCAGAAGTCACCTACTACAGGACAGGCCCAATAAGGCAAGTAACAGTACAACAGTAGTTATTATCTACAACCGCCAATTAAAACTTCTCTAGCATGTCACTGATAATCTACAACCTAAGCTAGAAAACAATCCCTCACTCTCACAATATTTTCACAATTTAAACATGAATGGAATGTTACTCACCTTCCAAAGAATTGAGAAATTTGAGGTATTTTAAATAATGCCAAGCTGGTGACCAAAAGGAAAAAAAGAACACCTCCAATTACAGTTCCTAAAATTATGTCTTTCGAAACTTGGAAAGAAACAAACACAGAACATTACATTTTGCACTTGGGACTTATAGATACAACTGTAATAAATATTTAAGTACAATTGTAATTTGGCCTTTTATGAAGTGTTTCGCTCTCTCTCACACATGCACACACACACAGAATTATCTAATGTGTAAACTATGTAACAATATTAGAAAAGAGGGCTTCCAACGTGTTTTGTCTGTACACAAGTTACCACTGCTGATTGCTTCTGCCGTATACCCCCTTTGCCATGAATGCCAAGTAGGAAGGCAATCTGACAGAGTTACTTGCTCAGCAAACTAGATACAAATTTGTAATGTAATATACTTGCTCTTCCTTTCCTCTCTTGTCACCCAAAAGACAATAGAATTTCAGTTTGTGACAACACAAGCGATCACGGAGCAAGGAGGGAATAATTCTCTCTGTGGTCCTAGAGTGACCATACTGAGAATTCTGTTCACGTCTCAGCACTAAGGTACCAGAAAGATACTGACAAACTGGAAGGAGCGACTAAGGAGCTTGGTTGAGAGCAATGACTAAGGGGAGACATGGAGACAGTCTACAGATATGTAAGGGTTCTCCAATGCTCTGCTGCCAATCTGGGTATTTCAACAAGAGCACCCAGCAGAGGTTAGCTGCCCCAGTGAGAGAGGCAAGCTCTCAAGCTCCTGGATCTTAGGTTACAGAGTTTTGGAGATCATAGCCAACACCTACAGCTGCAGTCACAAATGGACCGATATCCAGTACACAGCACCAAGAACTATTGCTATATGCCAGTCCTTACTCAGCCAGATCAAAAGGAGAGCCACTGTATTCTACCAGTCATGTCTTGGGGACAGATTCAGTCCCACAGAAAGCATGGGTGTTGTAGCACAAGTATGGCAAAAGAGTATAAGTGTCAGACTTGGTAGCCTGTGACCATCTCCTGGAGAAAGAAAAGAACTTCTCCAGGGCACTGGAGTTCAATAGCATTGGGACAAAGAGAGCCCCAAATTAGCAATGAGAAAAAGGGTGAACAAGCCTACCAGCTGAAGACAACAGACAGCTGCCTGATATTTCCCTCCAACTAGCATGACTTCTATCTTTTATGAAATCACAGAATCATAGAATACTAGGACTGGAAGGGACCTCGAGAGGTCATCGAGTCCAGTCCCCTGCCCTCATGGCAGGACCAAATACTGTGTAGACCATCCCTGATAGACATTTATCTAACCTACTCTTAAATATCTCCAGAGATGGAGATTCCACAACCTCCCTGGCAATTTATTCCAGTTTTTGACTATCCTGACAGTTAGGAACTTTTTCCTAATGTCCAACCTAAATGTCCCTTGCTGCAGTTTAAGCCCATTGCTTCTGGTTCTATCCTCAGAGGCCAAGATGAACAAGTTTTCTCCCTCTTCCTCATGACACCCTTTTAGATACCTGAAACCTGCTATCATGTTCCCCCTTAATCTTTTCTTTTCTAAACTAAACAAACCCAATTATTTCAGCCTTTCTTCATAGGTGATCTCTAGACCGTTAATCATTCTTGATGCTCTTCTCTGGACCTGTTCCAATTTCTCCACATCTTTCTTGAAATGCGGTGCCCAGAACTGGACATAATACTCCAACTGAGGCCTAACTAGCGTAGAATAGAGCGGACGAATGACTTCTCATGTCTTGCTCACAACACACCTGTTAATGAATCCCAGAATCATGTTTGCTTCTTTTGCAACAGCATCACACTGCTGACTCATATTCAGCTTGTGGTCCACTATAACCCCTAGATCCCTTTCTGCCGTACTGCTTCCTAGACAGTTGTTTCCCATTCTGTATGTGTGAAGCACAATAGTGAGATGTAGTATGGTCAAATGATGGGAAAAGAATGAAAGGTGAAGTGTGTAGTGGTGTTATATTAAAGAACAGATGGAAAATTACAACCTCAAGGGAGAACAAGTCTCAGAAATAAAGAAATAGTGTGATCAAGGGGAAGAGAGAACACAATAATCCCTGAAGCAGCAAGAAACAGAATTGAAAGAAGGAAATAACAGAAAATATAAATATAAATGCATAGTGCTTTGCTCTAAGACACAGCCAAGATCAATCTACTCAAAGCAGCTGCAAACCTGATGTTACTAATTTATATATGATTGAACCACCAAATATAAAGAAACTTTATCTAGATAGAAACTGTTATTTAACCGATTATTGCATATATGGTATTTTACAAAAGGATTTACAAATGTTTCACAAAGCAAATGTCCAAAACAATGTTCAACATGCTATATTTTATTATAAATGGCAGAACATGAAACATATTGTTTCCCCTGAAGCAGACTGCATGAAACAAAACTTGAGAACCTGCTGGTTCAGAGAAGATTTGATGCAGACTGCAGGTCAATTGTTTGATATGTGAGAGCAATGCATGTAAGCTCCCCCTTTCAGACTATCTGTTTTTACAGTTCACCAAGCCAAACTGGCAAGAGAAAAAAAGGCTAACCACTCTGCAAGCGTAACTCATAGAAGTAAAGTCTGGAGGTCTGTCAGCATAACATGAAATGATTGGTAATAACAGAAACATTGATGCTGATGTAACAGATAAGAAAGAAGAAAGTGAACTATATAGAGTAGTGGTTCTCGAGCTTTTTTTTCTCTCCAAACAACCACTTGAAAATTACTGAGGGTTTTGGTGGACCACTTAATGATCTTCCCAAATGTTGTTTGTACTCTTAGCTAACTACTGTAAAGTGCTTTGGATAAAACACCTTAATAATAAATGATTTTTTGTTCTACAAATAAAAGCACTCAACTTACAATTTATTATCAGTAGAGGTCTCTCTCCCATCACAGCATCTACAGAGGCAAGGCTGGGAAGGAGGGCTGCCTTTCTCCGGCAGCCACAGTCCTAGAGCTGCAGAAAGCTGCCTTTTTCTCTGGCTGCTACAGCCCTGCTTATCCCAAATTCCCCTATCCCCTCTTGTCACCCGATTGCCCTCCCTACCTGGTATTTCCCCTACCTCATGCCAGTGCTCCCTCCCACCTATTTCTCATTCATCTCAAGGCTACCACCTCACCTTACATATTAGGGTCTAAGCATCTAATTAGTCGAGGCATGCCTGTGAGCCACTAATTAGGTGGGCAACCTTCAATCTCTCATGTATGGCTATGCAGGTGTACACCTTAGAGGGAAGCAACCCCACACCACCTGAATGGAGCTTGTGCACCATGAGTAGTCCACAAACCAGTTTGTAGAGTTCATAGTTTGTCACAGCACTTACCACTTAGAATTGGAGGTGGCCCACTGTCAATGCTTCCCCCACGTCCTTTGAACTTACAGTCTGGAGGAGCCCACCCAAAATTACAATGGCAGTTTCGATTATTATTGCACACCTGAAATAAAATCAACAGATAAATGGCATGAAACAAAATATAATGGATAGAATTATTAAAAGGCTAATAATATATAAGAAATTTCAATGTTATTGAATCATGTTGAAATCACATGTGGGAGGTGGGGACCAGAAGCCAACAACAGAATGCATATCGGAGACTTGTTTTTTCCTTCTCACTGTACTATAACAAATTGAGATCTGGGCATTTTTATCTTGGAGGAGAGTCTTTTACTCTCAGAGTCAGGTGAAATTGGCTGCATTAACCTGTAGTCCTCAAACTCAATTTTTAGCAATGTATATGCTACTGTTTGTGTACTAAATCATTGGATGTTAGGAATGCATTTCATTGGCATTTGAGATTTTGTCAGTATCACTTATTTCAAGAAGTATCTAAAATACTGCAGGGCAGACAACCGCCACCACAGTCCCCAGGGCAAGGTGTGGGCTGGATGGCTCTTACGGCCTTGGGCGGAAGGGGTGAGGCAAAGAGCAATCAGCCCTTAGAGCTGCCCAGGCTGTAGCATGTCCCCCCCCCAATCGTCGGAGCCATGAGGAGTGACACTTCAAAGGGGCCAAGGGCTTCAGCTGCCATCGCTGCTGCACTAAGGGCAGCAGGGAGCTCTGGGCCCCCTTGAATCTCCAGGCTCTGGGGCAATTGCCCCTTTTGCCCCTCAACGTCAGCAGACTTGGAGATACCCACATTCATCTCTTCTTGATTCCACCTTTGGTGTACACAGCTATGCTATACCTAAAATAAACAAGCCTTTAACCCACTTAGTTAATTTCCTCTTTAAAATTAGCATGGGATGAGTTTAATCTTACTGAGAAGGGCAATTTTTTATCTGAGGTTTTCCCAATCAACTGCCCCTTTAGAGCTGTTCAATCCCTTCAGTAAGAAAGTCACCAAATAAGTTGATGCTGGTCCTAGGATTGTCAGAAAACAGAGGGTTTGTAAACATTCCCATGAAGTTCATCTAGAAATGCCATACCATTGGGAGCAGGGGAAATTACTGTTCTATCATTTCTTTTCTTTTTTGGTGAGGAGCAAAAGTTGTTGGAGGAGAAAACAAGAGACAATGGAGAAAAGAAGACATGGTCGTATGTGGATGGGAAACCTGATAGAAAGGAGTAGAAACTAATGAAATAATTTCCATCGTTCATCTGAGAATCTCAGTGTACTTTTAGGTTTGCAAATCTCACACGTCTGTGAGGAATGTGTTACACCATCCTCCGGGACAGCAATGGTCCAAAATGCCTTTTATCACTTTCAGCTGGCCTGAAGATTATGACCTCTCCTAGCTAAGGCAGACCTCTCCTCAGTTATCTATCTCTCTGTCGTGCTGGATTACTGCACTGTTTTCCATTTTGTGCTGTTCTGGAACCTTCACCTAGTACTATGCGAATGTAACACCTATGTTTTCTTTTCTGCATTGACTCCTAACTGACTATAAGTACAATATATAGAGATAATAAATTATCTACAAAACCCTGTAAAGCATGAGACCTGACTACTTTGGAGATCTTACTATGTCGTGTGTCACGCACTCTTATGGCTTTTCATCAGAGGAAGCATACAATATCTAGTGTGGAATCTCAGTTCTGAGAGATTCCAGTGTTACATTTATTATATTCTAATATACAAGGGATGTTCCAATCTTTGCTACTTACCCCTCTACCGCTGCATTTTTTGTCAGTGCAGTCATAATTCAGAGCCGTTATATTGACACATGTCCTGTTTATACATATCTGTAAAAAGTTCACACATAAATATACATTAGATAAGAAAGCTACAGTAGGAAAGCTTGGATACTGACTAATAGATATGGAAAACCTACTATACATCAAAAAGAAAGATTACTGGTTAATAACTGGCTTTTCAATGTTTCCAGCTTTCTTGATATCAAAGCATAGCCCTCTAGAAAGCAGGAAGCATTAACGTTGTGAATGTGCTCGTTTGCAGAACAGTGTTCCTTCCACTTCACCAGAAACAATATCAGAGATGCCAGAGAAGAGGGGAGGGTGGATCTATATGGACAGTCTACTCAAAGAATCAGTTGATGGCAAGTCACATTTCTCCTTTAAGTATTTTTAGTGTAAAACCTTGAATTACAACCCTCTTGAAAGCGTACATTTACATTTATCTTCCTCTTTTGCCATCTCACAGCAGTTGGTCACATTTAATCAGTATTTGGCCTGTATTTGACTACTTTAGTATTTCAAGCATTACTCAATAGGCAGAAAATCTGCTATTTTGTATCCTATGCCTTTTGCAGGATTAAGATCAATTCCTGTTCAGGAGATTCTAGAGATTCTCTGATGTGATGCTGCTCATAAGGCATAGCATATATAGATCTAGGATTAAAGTTTGTACTTTATAAATCAATTTATTTATCTGGGAAGCTGAGAGCAAGAGGGTGAGCAGCTATTGGGCCACATGGGGAATCAACTGATGAATTTCATGGGGAATCAAATTGGCGATTTGACAATAGCAGATCCAAGAACTAAAACTGGGCTGGGGCAAGGATGAGAGGCAGAAACTGAGTCTGACTAGCCTAACTGTCCTGGATGACTTGACAGGGAAGTTCTTTCTTACACTCCTCCATAATTTTATCTTCTCTTTATTGGGTGGCTCTTATCCAGTGTCTGAGGAACTACGTCTACACAATAAGGTTTTTGTGCAAAAAAATGGTGGAGTGTCCACACCTCAAGTGTGCTTTTGCACAAGAAAATTGACAGAAGAGAGGGCTTTTGCTGGTAGAGTTATTCCTCTCCCCAGGAGGAATACCTCCTTTCTGCATTACAGCTCTTGTGCAAAAAGGCAGGTGTGGACACTCTGCAGGGGTTTCTTGTGTAAGAAACCCCTATTGGAAAAAGCACAGGTGCTCTGATGGCCATTCTCCATCAGAGCTTTCTTGTGCAAGAGCATCCAAGCAGTGTGGATGCTCTCTTGCGCAAAAGCACATGGCTTTTGTGATGCGCTTTGAGGTCTGGACGTGCTTTTCAACAAGAAGTTTTTGCGCAAAAACTCTTGCGCAAAAGGCTTCCTCCACAAAAACCCTGCACAGTAGATGAAGTCAGGAGGAATAAGGGTCACTAAATTCCAGTCACTAGTAGTGGTGTCACAACAGAAAACTGCAGAATTTGATCGATACTCATATTCTTAATCCTATTTCCATGTTGACTCAGATATCGTCATCACAAGAACCCTTGGTTCCTGGGAAAAACAGTTACTCTGTTACGTTGAGTTGTGATGCAGACATGTATTCCACTTAGCTGTATGAGTGCTCATGCACTAGAGAGAGAGAATCATGCCTAGCAATACCCATAGAGGAGCTGTGCTTGTGTCTTGTGCCACAACCCCTCCCCTGGCTATACGAGGCAGCACTGTCTCAGCCTCCTTAGGTCACTGAGGAATGCTACTGGCATTGCTTGTGCTCTTGTTGAATGAGCTTGCACTCCGTGGGGAGGCACAGCTGAAGCCATTTCATATGTCACCTTGACACATGATGTTGTCCATTTAGAGATGGTCTGTGAACAGGCTACTTGACCTTCATGTGATCTGTATAAGACACAAACACGTGAAGCATGAAATGGTTTAGTCCTCTCCAGATAGGACATCTACTGTGTACAGATACTGTTCCTCCAGAGAGGAATGTGATTTATGAAAGAATACTGCCTGATTCAAATGAAACCGAGAGACTGCTTCAGACAAGTGTTATTAGTTTGGTTGTAAAGTCACATTGTCTTTGGAGAATCTTCTGTGAAGAGGCTCTGCCCTCAGAGCCTGTACCTTACAAAACCTTGTTGTTGCAGATGAACATGGTTTTCCAACACAGGAGTGGAAAGGGACAAGATGGAAGGGGCTTAAAAGGAGGCTCCATTGGTGCCACTATGACTATTTTAATGTCCCACAGAGGAAACAGAAATTGGACCAGCAAATGTAGCTGAAGAAGCCCTTTTAAGAATCTTTCCGTCATGGGATTGGAGACTACTGAACTTCCCTTACTAAAGCCAATACCAATATTGTTTCCAGATGCACTTTAAATAAACTAAGCTAAAGTCCCATTGACTAAAGGTGCAGCAGGTATTCCAATATGTCCTGGATAGAAGACAGCATTGCTTGAATTCCTGGGCCAATGACTACATAAAAAATGACTTTTTTTGCCATCTTATTCGGGGAGGCAACCACATACAATAAGAAGTCCTGGTATGGCTTGAAATCCTCTAATACCAAAGGGGAGAAAGATCCCAGAAATATAGAATCATCCAGAGATGAGGATGAGGCAGTTAAGTGTGCCTGAGCTGGATTCAGCTCCAGAGCTGATGGGCTCAAGCAGGACAACTCTGGAGACGCCTTGAAGGAAAATGTCACCAGTATCTGCATCTGTGGTAGACCAATGGTCACTGCCATAGCTTGGCCTCAGACAAGAAGTGGGATTTCTGATGAGGACCACGCCATGGATTTTGCCATGGTTACTCGTATGGACAGAGCATTGGTGGCTGGAGACATTGGGCTAGGTGCCTTAGTTTGAGAGTGAGATATGTGTCAATCATGGTAGTCACTGTACTCCATGATCAGACCTCAACCAGGCAATGGGAAGCAGAAAGAGGAAGATCCTGACTCAGATAACTGAGTGGTTCCAGGCTTTGGAGAATAGTGGTGGGTCAAAATGAGGGTGTGAGCAGCTCGTTCTATTCATCCCTAGCTCTGAATGACAAGGGGGCAGGCACCAATGGTGGAAATGGCACTGGTAGCACTGAGTATGTCTCCGTCGCTTCCAGTGGTGTGAGTGGTACTGACACCAAAGTCAGCATTGGAAACAAAGTAATCGATGATGCGAAAGTGGAAGACAGTGAATGCTGCCACAGCAACACTGGCAGTACCAATCATAGGGGGTACCAAAGTTCCCAGTGCCATGAAGATTCTTGTACCAAGATTGGCACTGGCCCCTTTCCATTGAGTGTAGAAGGGAAGCAGTTGGGTGCAGCACTGACAGACTCATAGGTTCAGTGGTTTGGCTATTAAAGGAGGCAGTCCTGACAAAGTCCTGGACCAAATGAGATGTGAATACAGAAAGGCAGAGGAGATCCACTACTGCATGATACCTCACCGGCATGGAAGCAGCTGGTGTCACTGTTGCCCTTGGTCAACTACTCAATGCATGCTCCAGGGCTGGAAGTGTAGGTCGCAGTACAGGGTCTCTGACCTCCGATTGACAGGACATCCTGTGCACTGGCACTCATTGCTTCTTTTGGTGGAGGGAGATCAAGTCCTGACTGACAGAAGCCACTACACAGCCCATCTTACATAACTTTTTCCTCAGCACATTTGATGGGGAAAAAGAAGTTACTCACCTCCATGCAGTAATGATGGTTCTTTGAGGTGTGTCTCCATGGATTTTGTATATGCAAAAAATTGCATATTGAACAGTTAGCAATGATATACTCCTCATCCAAACAGTAGAAATACTTGTTGAGGAACACCTCCCTGTCTTTCCTCCCTTCGACACTCCTCAACAAGAGGAGCATGAAATAAGGCCAAGAAATCAGACATTATTCCCAGATAAAGTCTATGATCTATTATTTATTATTTCTTTTAAAATATATTTTACTCCTAAATTAAACAACCCAGGAAGCAATAAACTAACTGCAAATTTCTACTCTAACTACACAGTAACAAATTACAGACAGGACATAATGTTATCCCAACTTTCTGCCTAAGCAGTGGGAAGGAATAAAGTATCTCTTGAGGTCACCAAGTCCTTTAAGGTCTTGGAAGATGGAGCATGAAGATGAGACTAGTACCTGCACAAACCCTGCTGGATGCTACTATTGAAAATGTTCCAAACTCCTGTGATGTGGTGCCCTTTTGCTGCATCTCAAAGAAGAATGCAGACTTTGCTTTATGCTATTGGTAAAAAGGTACCATTACAGGAGGTAAAGAAATTATGTCGTTTATAAATGTCTTCGTTCTTTTTGCGTTTTAAAAGACAAACTTTAAAACATTTTAAAAACTACAGCTAAATGGGAAAGTGAGTAGTAGGCACTTAATAGACTAGATTTTCTGGTATCAGAATAAAACAATACTCAGAGAAAAGCAGACAAGTAGCTAGATAAACTCCTGTACACTCACCCAATGGAAGAATGAAAAAGGCCCAATAATCCATCAGTCACAAGCATGCAACTGTTTTCAAACCACTTATGATGAATATTTTTAATAACATTTGAGGATTTTGCTTCTAGATTAATATTACAAATCTAGATACCCATGCAGAATGGGTTTAGTTCAAGTCTAACTATTTTCAGAGCATATTGCAAGATTCATCTTTTTGCAAAAGCCTTTTCCTGGAACATTATTTGGTGTCTTTATAGTCCTGTGCTGGCATAAACAGAGCAAATTAAGATGAATGTAGACAATTTAGCAAATTCAGGAGAAGAGGAGATATCAACAGTCAGATTTATAAAGACACCCAAAGATTAAGATAGGCAGCTAATGCGATTTTCTAAAGTTCTTAAGCATCTAGCTTCCTTTGAAAAGGGAATTGGGCAACTAGGAGCATTGGAAAAATCTGACTCCTACTAATCTCACTACATACCCCACAAAAAAGAAAAAGTGTGTCACTATTTTCTCACCTGTTGTGAGGAGTTAAAATGAGGTTACCTTCTGGTCTCCCTTAGCCACCTGAGGGTGACAACAGGTTGTCCTCAGAACTGTCTTTGAATCTTTTCAGGTAAAAGGAGGGAAGAAAACTTGGAGATGGGAACAAGAGCTCAAATCCTCCTCTGTATTTAATCTGTTCCATCTGTTCAAAAATCTAACTGTACTTACTACAGTACCTTGTTATCACCACAGGCTGCACCATCTTTCACTGATCCAACATCAGCTACCTCCATCCCAACATTAAATTCTGTACCCCAACACAAGATATCATCAACTGGAGTTTGAACTATGGACCCAAAACTATTGCTTCGAGGTATTTTTTTAATATTAACACACTGCAGTCTTCCACACAAGACATCCCTGCAAGACAAAAACAATAACAATTGCTTAAAGATTTATACAGACATTTGAAGATTTCCGTATTCAGGATGTTAAGAAGTAGGTATTTCACTAGTTGTGTAGTGACTGTAGTCAATAGAATTTTTATCGACGGCACGATTAGTCGATAAGGGAAGGCGCTCAGTCCCTGCTCATGCCGGGTCCAGGACCTACCCCTGATGCATCTCTGCAATTTAAATGTAAGAAGAGCTGGGCAGGCAGGCAGCTTGTCTTCTACTTCATTTAAACTGCAGAGCTACAGCAGGGATAGGTCTCAAACCCAGTGTGAACCGGAACTGAGAAATCCCAGCTCAGCCCTGGTTCGCACCAGGTCCAGGAGCTCCCTTTTGTCCAGAATGTCATGTATACCTGGATGCCCTTGTGCTTGCATACAAAGGCCACAAAGGATGAAGCAGGTCAACTGCCTCTCAGTACCTTTGCCACTGCAGAATCCAGAACTTTGTCATAATAGAAAAGGTGGGACATGAAATACATAAATATCTGTGGATAACACATTTAGAAGAACTGCAGTTATGCTTCTACAATGGAATAATGATTTGCACAACTATGGATGGATGCACATAGCTGTCATGCAGAAGTCTGAAATGCCTGAAATAAGTATGCTTTGTAAGAAAACATCAGTAGTAGGAACCACAATCCACCCTGGGGTAAAAAGCATCTATCTGTCTTACAGTCTATTACTGCACCTATATATTCTATTCCTTGCCCCAGTGTTAATCCGAACTGTTCCTTGTTGATGCTTAGCATAGCATCAACATAGCAAGGAAGAGATGAAGAATCAGTTGGATGGCAAATTCAATTACTGACTACCTAAACAAGCCCAGAAAGGTTTGAATTTTTAAAGATATATATTTTTGAGTTGTGACTTTTTAGAATGGTTGATCTAAAGTACGTGGCCATGGTGTCAACTGACTGGTTTTATCTTTGATCTATGGAGTTTTCTGAAATTACTGGACTGGGCAAATTCTTCATATCCTGAAAGATGAACTAATGAAAACTGGTTGATGCCAGTGAGAGTGTTCTATTCTGATTCCTGAGGACTGATTACCTGATGAAAACATGACCATGTAAATCATTGTTGCTGTCATTGAGTGTGTCAAGTAAGGTGTGATTGTAAACCCGATGGTTTGCTGAATATTATTATCCTATTTGTATGCATGTATCATGTTTACATCTGAAGTTATTAAATTCCATGTTTCATGGAAAGCAGAGATGATTCCAAAATGGGAGGGGGAAATGGGTCTAGTTAGGGAACGCCCACCCTGCAGGGAAATTCTACCCCATAGGCAGGTAAAATAGTTTGTGTATAACTTTCAAATAAAAATTGAGAAGGCAGGACATACTGCAGAATGAGGGCCAAGTCTCCATCCAGTGGCCCTTTGAATGAGAGAGACAAAGTAAAAAGACACTTCTCTAGGCAGCAATGACCAGAAGGTAACCTAGGAGCTCCAGTCATACTCCCTGCACCCCGCACTTCCTGGTGGATTTTTAGTATGCCTCAGAGTCATGGAGAATGTCCCACTGCCTCTTGTCTCTCCCAGAGGCAAAGATCCCCCCCTTAACAAGCCATTCTCATCACAAGCAAGTCACTGCAGGGGAGGGGTGGGCGGGGGCGGGGAGAAGACCTCTTCCATGGTCTAAGGTTCCCCTTTTCCCCAGCGGCAGCCCACCAGGCATGGGGAGGGTTGGAGGGAATCCAGTCCCACCCACTTACTCCAGATTCCAGCCCAGAGCCCCTAGATAGCAGCCAGTAGTGGGGCTCTTCCCCTTATCCCCACAGAATAGTAGTCTCTCCCTGGGCCACTTCCCCAACCACTCCCAGAGAATCTTCTCCTGGCACCTTGGTGAAACCTCTCCCGCTTGTAACCTTCAGCTGTCATCCACTCTGCACTTCCTCCCCTCTGGTCCTGTCACTCTTCTCCTTCCTCCCACCCTTACCTGAGGGGAAGCCTTTTATAGTGGACCAGCAGGCCTTAACTGGCTGAAGGTGTCCCATTAGCCTGCTACTCATGGAAGTCGGAAGAGATTCCAGAAGAATGGAAAAGGGCAAATATAGTGCCCATCTATAAAAAGGGAAATAACAAGAACCCAGGAAACTACAGGCCAGGAAAGATAATGGAGCAGCTAATTAAGGAATTAATCTGCAAACATCTGGAAGAAAATAAGGTGATAGTTAACAGCCAGCATGGATTTGTAAAGAATAAATCATGTCATGATAGGATAAGAATCTTGTGGATTAGGGAGAAGCAGTGGACGTGGTATACCTCGACTTTAGTAAGGCACTTGATATAGTCTCACATGACCATCTTATCAAATTAGACAAATACAACTTAGATGGGGCTATTTTAAGGTGGGTGCATAACTGGCTGGATTACCATTTTCAGAGAGTCATTATTAACGGTTCACAATCATGCTGGAAGGGCATAACAAGTGGGGCTACATAGGGGTCTGTGTTGGGACTGGTTCTGTTCAATATCTTCATCAGCAATTTAGATGATGGCATAGAGAATACGCTTATTAAGTTTGCAGATGATATCAAACTGGGAGGGGTTGCAAGTGCTTTGGAGGATAGAGTCAAAATTAAAAATGATCTGAACATACTGGAGAAGTGGTCTAAGGTAAATAGAATGAAATTTAATAGGGACAAATGTAAAGTTACTCCACTTAGGAAGGAACAATGTTTCGTACATACAGAATGGGAAGCGACTGCCTAGGAAGGAATACTGTAGAAAGGGATCTAGGGGTCATAGTGGACCACAAGCTAAATATGAGTCAACAGTGTGACACTGTTGCAAAAAAAGCAAAAATGATTCTGGGCTGCATTAACAGGAGTGTTGTGACCCAGGCATGAGAAGTCATTCTTCCGCTCTACTCCGCACTGATTAGCCCTCAACTGGAGTATTGTGTCCAGTTCTGGGCACCGCATTTCAAGAAAGATGTAGAGAAATTGGAGAAGGTCCAGAGAAGAGCAACAAGAACGATTAAAGTTCTAAAAAACATGAGCTATGAGGGAAGTCTGAAAGAATTGGGCTTGTTTAGTTTAGAAATGAGAAGACTAAGAAGGGACATGATAGCGGTTTTCAGGTATCGAAAAAGGAGTCACGGGGGGGAGGGGGGGAGGGAATTGTTCTGCTTGGCCTCTGAGGATAGGACAAGAAGCAATGAGCTTAAACTGGAGCAAGGGAGGTTTAGGTTGGACATTAGGAAAAAGTTCCTAACTGTCAGGGGGTTAAACACCGGAATAAATTGCCTAGGGAGGTTGTGGAATCTCCATCACTGGAGATATTTAAAAGTAGGTTAGACAGACATCTATCAGAGATGATCTGGATGGTGCTTGGTCCTGCCATGAGGGCGGGGGACTGGACTTGATGATCTCTTGAGGTCCCTTCTAGCTCTAGTATTCTATGATTCTGCTGCAGGCCGGCTCTTAATGAGTCTCAGGTGCCCGTCTGTCTTACTTGCTGGGCAGCAATCTCTGGCAGCCTATGCAGGAAACAGGAACCCACTCACCCAACTCCTGGTGTATTTGCCCCGCACCAAACTCGCCCTTGGTTTGCAACAGTATTTGTATTTCAAATGTGTTTGTTCTGGTGGTAGTACCCACAGGCTAATTTGTATCCAGCTGTCAAGCACATTGTAAATGGAATATTCAAGTTGATGATTCATCAACAAATTCAACAGATCATGGAAGAAGCCTACCCACATATGATGCACTTTTTTGTGAATGCTCTCACTAGACTATAGGTAATAGCCTCTACCATGACTCAGCAAAACATCCATAGGCATGTGTCTAAATCACATGACCCTAAACTTCATCTTGTTACCTGTATCCTTCTGAAAACTGTAGTGAGGTGTTTGTTTGGAACAATGGGTTTCCCTCCACATGGCAGGAACTATAAAAGGCTGTGGCAATATCTCTCCCTTTCCTGCTCTGATCTCTGGACTACTGACTTACACCTATGGGAGCACTCTAACCAAGGGACTGAAGATGTTCCAACTATTTGGGAGCAACAAGAGACTTAACCAGTTTACAACTGAGAAAAGAACGTTGGTGTATGTATTTTATTCCTATAGCCAGCTATAACTCCTGCCTTTCTTTTTACACATCAACTTCTAGGTACTAGATAATAAAGGATTAGCCAGCCGCATGATTATTGGGTAAAATCTGAGTTATATATTGAACTGAGAATGTAGCTGGTCCTTTGGAATAATAAAAACCTTTTGTTTGATGAAATTGGTTTTAAATAACCACTCACCATTAATTCTAGTATCTGGGTGTTGAATCCAGGACTGGCATACTTAAGAAGGGTGCATTTCTGACTTCTTGTTAGCCAGTGTAGAAGACAGAAAATTACTTTTGTTGTTGGTTTGGTATATCTTATAGAAGAATGATCAACAGTTTGGGGGTGAGTCTGCCCTGTTTCTCATTAGCTTGTCCTGATTTTGGTTCTCTCAGTTGTGACTCACTGAGTCACAGTGACAAGGACCTTCAAGGGAAAGGAACCATAAGCCTACGACAGGGGTGTCCAAACTTTTTTCAAAGAGGGCCAGATTTGATGAAGTGAACATGCATGAGGGCTGACCATTTTGCCTGACATTCTTTGAACCATTAAAATTAAATGCAAATTAACTATTTTATGCAAAGTTTATTGCAAATGGCATACTTTTCATTTCGTCACATGGATGACAAATCTAAACAGGTGTTAAATCAAGGTATTGAGGGATTTTTTTTTTAACTTTTAAGAGAGAAGTAGAGAGAGTAGTACAACTACAGCTTACGGACGTTATGATACATATAAAATTGCATTCTCTCTATGCATCCTTCCCCAGTCAGGTGCCAATAGTGAGTTATTTCTTAAGTCACTTTGGGAACAAGATGGGGTGATACAATCTGAGCTGGCTCTGTTCTGTGTCTCTGTGACTTGTACAGCCATTAAGATTTTTTTTTCCCCATCCAGGCC